AAATAAACTGTTGAATTTGCGGAACCAAACTGGTTCCACTAAACCAGGTTGAGTAAACTGTATGTATATTCTTTGCTCAGTTTACTCAACTAGGCTTAGTGGAACCAGTTGGCATGACTTTGTTGAGTAAATTCAAAACTTCATTTTTTATAAAGTACATAAACATCTTTCATAATGAGTTCAAACATGTTTAATTTTGTAAGTAAAGAAGTAAAAATATCATTTTTAGCTTTAAAATGTAAGAAATGTAAGAAATAAAATTAAAAGTAGCTATTTAAAAAAATAATTGGTAAAATTACAAACCCTCAAAAAAACTATGTAAGTACTGTAACGAAGCAAATGTACTTAGTTCCTATAAACCTCTGGTTACTTTGTAAGCTGAGGTAATGAGATGTTGCACAGAAAAGGTCACCCTGAAGCAGCCATGACACCAGAAAGGGAAATCAGTGTCAGATAAAAATATTTCGCCCTCCCTCTTCTCCCTATCTGTCCGGCTGAGCCTCTCTCGTGCAGAAAACCATGGAAGACTGGACAGACGCCTCGTGCTCTTCTTGTGCTTTCAGTCTAACGATGGTTAATGATGGGAGAGGGACTGAGTGGACAAATAAAATACAGGCTGCAGAGTAGAGGATCATGAATGAAGGCAGCTTTAAGCCATGACAAATCACAGAGGAGAGAAAGTGGAACGTCAGAGGCTTAGCGGGTCACTGAGTCAGCAGACGTGGTTCCTGTCACGCACAGCGAGGTGACGTAGCTGAGCTGCAGACAGGACAGTGGGGGTTGGCCATGGTCTGTCGCACCACAGCTCTAATCAAAAATACCAAACCACAGGTTGAAMAAATAATGTATTTGTAAAACTGTAAAGCTCTGATAACCTGAAGGTCATTGGAAGAAGAAAATAGCTAGAATCACTATCACATTTCAGGTTATAGGGCTACAAACTAAATTTAGCATTAAAAGTGTAAAAATTAATGTAGTGCCCTCAATCAACATAAGAAACGTCTAGATTTGGTCTGTGATGTTAAAACATCAGTGGAAGAAAGTATGTTATATAATCAGAGGCTCCAGAAAAAGTTAAATAAACCCTGCTCCTCAGAGATTCCTGCCCTTGTAGTTTTGTTATCCAACAGTAGAGGGAGACCGGGGACAGTTGCAACACATCATTTTTCTCCAAACAGAAACAGAGTGATGACCCTCACACTGTACATGCTCAGTTAGATGTCCCACCTTGGAAAGAAAAAGTCAACAGATAAAATAAAAAACAGTTTTATAGTTTAAAACATAAAAGTGTTTAAGATGTATTTTCTACAGTTGTTG